GCAAGAGTTCCAGTCAAGCTGAATGGTGAAAGCAATACACTTGAGAAGTGTTAACTTCTCAAGTGTATTGCTTGAGAAGTTAACACTTCTCTGAAGGATTTTGCATGAACAAAGGTCATGTTCAATGAACAAAGGTTCATCTGTAGGATTTTGCATTTGCAAACTTTAAGTGATTGGATAATACCAACAAAACTGTCTGCACACTTGGAGTAATGCCAACCAGCGTTAGAGTTTATGCACAGAGGACTTGATAAGCCAGTGTTTGCATAGATAATGCATATTCAGGTTTTGGAATGACTAAATCTGGATATATTGACAAGGAATTATTGTTCAATGTCAAAGGTTTCATTTGAACATTTTGTGAATTTTCTTTTAAATCTTGAACTCCTGCATAATCAGTTAAATATTTCAGAAATGTTTTCAGAAACAAAACAGTCAGGATGGTGAACACAAAGTTTATATCACAGGATGAAACAAATCACATGTTTGCAACACAGTTCACTGCAAATTGTTCAGTAAATCAGAATATTGTCGAATGTCAAACAAATTATATAGATTAACTATGCTAAGACTGATGTATACAATTTAAAAAATGTGAAATACTCAAATTTTATGAAAAACTAAATTTTTAATTGTTTATGGACTGGAAGCTGAAATGAACAGAAATAAGCTATTTTATGCTAGCATAAGTAACTAATCTACAAGAGTTACAGTTGTGGAAATAAACCAAAGAAATGATTTAACTTTTTGACATTTTGAAACTTTCAATAATACATGTGTGTGCAAATCTTAAACTACAAGACACCAATGATGGACAAGTGTTTCAAAATCACTGACACTTATATTTTTTCCTCCCAGCTGAGCAAATCTTACGGAAACATCTACAGTATTTACATCGGACCGAGACCAGCAGTGTTTCTGAACGGGCTGAAGGCCATGAAAGAAGCCATGGTGATCAAGGGTGCAGATTTTTCTGGACGGCCCCAAGACTTGTTTGTCAACGATGTTTCCTGCAGGAATGGTAGGCATTACTCTGGTATTACTTTACATTAGATAAAAATTGTGCTCATGAACTTTGCAAAAATCAAGAGGAAATGCACAAAAAACAGAGCAAGAACAAAGGCAGGCCATGTTTCTGTGAACTTTGTAACTGACAGCCATCTTGGCAGGCAGTTGTGTTAAGTTGTGTGTGTTGTGTTAAGTTTCACTTGGCACTTCAATCAGTGGGAGACGGGAGGCAGCTTGTCTCTGTCTCTGGTTGATCCCGACAGCATCCATTTTGTTCATGTATCTTTTTCTTGCACATCTTTTTCAAGCGTGTCCACATGTTTTCTTTTTGTTGGTCTCGAGGCCATCGGTCCGATATGTAATGCATTTGCACTTGCCTACAAAAACTTTCGGTTCAGGCTGGTGGGATCTGTGTATTCTGAAAATATGACGGAGCATAGAGAGCTAAAAATAAAAGCAGATACAAGCTGGTCATTGAAAGGAAGAGGCTAAAAAATGAAAGTGTTTTTGTGTTGCTGCAGGTGGTGTTGGAGTGATTCTGGCAGATTACGGCCCAAGCTGGCGGGAGCATCGCCGCTTCGCTCTGATGACTTTGAGGAATTTCGGTTTGGGAAAGAAATCAATGGAGGACAGAATTCATGATGAGATTCAACACACTATTAAAACACTGGAGGGCAGCATCGGTATGTCATTGATTACTCCATGCAGCCCCTCTATGTTTTCTGTTCTGTAGCCTGTTTTAAATGTCTGTGTTGATTTTCATGCAGGTAAAACTCTGAGTCCTCGGGTCATGTTCCATAATGCCGCTTCCAACATCATCTGCCAGGTTCTGTTCGGAAAGCGCTATGAGTACGACGATGACATGATCAAAACCATTGTTCAGTGCTTCACTGAAAATGCCAAGATAGCCAATGGGCCCTGGGCCATGGTGAGTTAAAGAAGGGCCCTTCACCTCTCCCCTATAGCAGAAAATTTTACTCATAATGCCATCAAAGTCTTTCATGTAACACAGTGACATATTTGTGATGCAATGTGCTAATATGCACATAAGCATGGGACAAGAAGTTAGAATTAAACCCCACAACTTTCTGATTGCAAAACTATTTCTCTTCGCACTGTGATGTCACTTATTGATAAAATGCATTATTCTGGCTATTAAAACGTTTTCTACTAGCAGGGTGATTCGTAGATGAGAAATGTTTAGATTAATCTAAAAACTTTTGTAGAAAATGAATGGACATTTTCAATTTGAAAAGTTGAAAATTTGTCATAAAAAACTGAAAACGTCCACAAATTTTCTAGAAAATTTATAAAATGTATTTCTATACTTTTTTCTATTTCATCAATTTATTTTTCTTTTCTATCTACAGTGACCCTAATATGCTGTGGTAGATTTGTGTGTAAATAAAACCATGGAATAAATACCCGTATTTCTCTTCAAACAATGTAATTTTTTATTTTTCTCTGCAGATATATGATTCCATCCCCTTTTGTCGTAACCTCCCGCTGCCATTCAGAAAGGCCTTTAAGAATGCACAGGTAAAAACTATATTTTCTACCAAGTAAATAACCAAGTATTTCTGCATTTCCAGCTAATTTTGCTTCAGTTTTTCCATCATCTTGTGAATTAAAAAAAAAATTATTTAGGAACTGTAACGAATTTGTTTCTAATCACTATCAACTATATATAAAGTCTGTAAAACATTACATTTTTCTAACTTAGAAACCCTTTAGCAGCAGCTTTATGATGTACACCATTTCCATAACAAAAAATATTTTCTTTAGATTTGCCAGAACTATATTAAATGCTTGGTCACTGAGTACAAGAAGACCAGAGTTCCTGGGGATCCTCGGCACTTTGTTGACTGTTACCTGGATGAACTGGAAAAGGTTTGTAAGTCATCCAACATGTGAGGCCTACATAAGAAACTCACAAAGTCCATCACCTCCAGGAGCTTGTGCAGCGGAAAGTTCTCGATGCATTTTGCCTTTGTTTATAAAAATCATAAGCTGTCCTCTTTTCAGAGAGGCAATGACGGTTCCTCCTTCTCAGAAGCTCAGCTCATGATTTACAGCCTGGATCTTCACTTCGCTGGGACTGACACGACGTCCAACACCCTGCTGACAGGATTCCTCTACCTGATGAACTACCCACATGTCCAAGGTGTGACTCACGTTCCATCAATGTGTTTATGTCCCATTAAGCTCTGTCACTGGAAAGACGCAAAATCTAATCAAGTATTTTTGTCTATTTCAATTGATAACAGTAACAGAAGTAACAGTGGCGCTGCAGATTAAATAACTGGACCAGAGCAGTAAAGTGTAGAAATGGATCATATGGGACTGATGCTTCTATATTTTTATTCCTCCCTCAGAACGATGTCAGGAAGAGATAGACCGGGTTCTGGAGGGAAAGGACCGGGTCTGTTTTGAGGACAGAAACAGTATGCCTTACGTCCAGGTACCATCGCATCAACATATAACTAAGTTACTCTGTGAAATAGTTTTTTTTTCTCTTGCAGCCATTTCCTATTTGATCTTGTTGCTTCATTTACCCTTTGAAATTCAAATTAATTAAGTGCAATAATGACCAAATAATTACACTTACAAACACGTTTTATTGCTTCAAGTCAGAAAAAGTGTAAAAATGATTCCTTCATCCAGGCTGTGATCCATGAGATTCAGAGGATTGCCAACACGGTTCCTCTCAGTGTCTTCCACTGCACCACTAAGGACACAGAGCTCATGGGATACTCCATTCCCAAGGTAGGTGAGCAAAGTTTCTTCAAGTTTTTTTTTTGCAAAAGAGACACTAAGACGATATTTCTGCTTCTCTTCAGGGTACAATGATCATCCAGAACCTGACCTCAGTCCTGAGGGAAGAGGGACAGTGGAAATTTCCTCATGAGTTCAACCCTGAAAACTTCCTGAATGAACAGGGAGAGTTTGTCAAACCTGAGGCCTTCATGCCTTTCTCTGCAGGTAAGCTGAGATGTGTCACGGTTGAGGCAACCTCATTGAAGAGTGGGCTGGATCTTCTGGTTTCTCTCTTCCAGGTCCTCGGATGTGTCTTGGAGAGGGTCTGGCCCGCATGGAGCTCTTCCTCATCACGGTGACTCTGCTCAGGAAGTTTAAGTTCATCTGGCCGGAGGATGCAGGAGAACCTGACTTTACTCCAGTCTATGGAGTCACTCTAACGCCGAAACCTTATCACATGAAGGTCCAACTGAGGTCCAAACAGTGAGGAGCAGAAACTTACTGTGTTTTCTTCACAAATGTACATAAAACTTTGTCAATTTTCTGCTAATGTTGGGGGAAAAAAATCCCAACTGAAGTTGCCATTAAAAAAAAAAGTTTGTTAAAGAGCATGCCATGTCATCATCCTTCCACTACCTCCTATCGTCTTCTTCATCGTTTCCGCCAGTAGTAACGTCTGGTTATTGATCACATGACTCGTGTGATGCAAAAAAGTGTTTCCATTCCAGTTTTACAAAATACACAAATTTCAATGCAGCTGTAAAACCACCTCATGCTAATGCAAAAACCTTTTAACTCAAAAATTTGAGTTTCCATTAAGCAAATTTATCTTTGTAATTTCAATTTGCACCATTTTATGGTCAATTCCTCAGCAGTTACAGATGAGGAATAAAAGATTGGATAAAAAAAATCTGATTAATCAATGTATTTTGGTACTGCTGTTAATGAATAATAAATTAAAAAAAATTTTCAAAACCAAAGAGTTTTCATTCTTCCATTCAATTGTTTATTTATGACATGCAACTTTACATGTTGCATGTTTTATTCTGTGAAAACTTGCAGCACACATTTGGAGAAACAACGGGGGAAAAATTACATTTAAGTTGGTATTTTATTGAAAACATCCATAAATAGAGAGGCACTTTGAACATATAGTGTCATTATGATGAAAATTGGTCCCCAGACTTTAATGGTGGGAATTTTTTTTTTTAATTGTTTTTATTTGCTATTTGCTTCATTTCTCCAGCAGAATCACAAATCAGATTCCACTAAACTAAAGAGACGAACTTGCCCATCAGCCCCAGCAGATGGCAGCATTTTGCATTTGGTAGATAAAAAAATGCAAAATATTATTTGTAGTTTGTATGGATTCAGCATATAGCTGTGAATTTGTCCCTCAAAATCTAGTTCCCTTTTATGAGCAACTTAGTGTTAGCACTGAGAAAAGCAGCAGTTTAAAACTCTTAAAAACAAAAAAAACACCGTAGGTTTTGTTTTTTATGTAGTCATGACTTTTATTGAGTCATGTGGCTCTTGTGCTCAAAAACATGTTTAAAACAAAACAATAAAACTTAAAGTAAGTGAACACATACAAGGCATTGCAATTATTGAGACAACTGCAAATGTTTCTCTTTGAGCTGCAGCTAAATGTTTTTCTAAAGTAACGGAGATTTTTGTCAGGTTAACTTACTGATAACTAATACTAAAAATTTTTTCAAAAGGATTTTTTTATGTGACCGTTTTGCCCAGATGTACCATGTTAGCTCTAAGAAAACACCCCCCATATATGTCACTTCCTGTCGCTGTAAACAGTTCTCCATTCATATTTGATTTCCTAAATACAAAGAATCAAAGTACAGAAGCAAAGCACAGAGAGCTGAGCTGCTCCGTCATAAGAACTCGAGCAGCTTTGCAGTTCAGTTTAATCCAATCTGAACCACCATGATTGTTTCACTGTTTTTGTTGGGGTTCTGTCTTTTCTTCATTCTTCAACTCAAACCTCAGAGACCCAAGAACTTCCCTCCAGGGCCTCCCAGTCTGCCTGTACTGGGGAACCTGCTGCATCTGAACTTACAGAACCCCTTAAAGGACTTTGAGAAGGTAAGAAAAGGTTTGGAGTAGATCCACTAACCCACACCTAGTTAACCTGGACTGAACACAGAGTATTAGAAAATCTTTAACTCACAGTCTTGATTATCTAATAATAAGTGGGCTAAAAATCCCAATAAAGTACAAAAGAAAAAACTTTCTGTTGGTTTGGAAGATAATTTTGGTTTAAAATCCATGTTTCAGAGGGATGATCTCAGTCACATACAGCTGAAAAGATGTTTGTGAGGAAGATCTTTGGCTCACAAAGAAGCAGAGACCTGTTGGGCCAAACGTTCAGCAGAAAGTTGTGGACATTTTCTGGAAGCCCACATTTGGCCCTGGTTGCATTTGCTGCAGAAATAAATGCAAACTTTTGAATTCAAAGAAACAAACCGGAAGGTTTAGTTTTATTAAATGTTGGTCAGAGAGAAAAAGAAAAACAATGATTTTTCACACAGATTGTACATCTGGTTTGTTCTCTAGAGGGCAAAAGTTTTATTCTCTCTCATGTCTTATTTCTATTCGTAATACATTACTTTTCTTCTCTGTGAGAAAGTTGGTCATCCTTTTATTGAATTGACAAAAAACTTTTTCTTTTATAAACAGTTGGCAAAGACTTTTTTTTAGTCAAATATGATTTTTTAAAATCTTTTTGTTCACAATTTATCAGAAAATGCTGAGTTATCTAAGTAACATGAGAATTAAAACTATTAATAAAAATGACTGTTGTACTGTTTCCTTCCAGCTGAGGGAGTCGTATGGAAATGTCTACAGTCTGTTCATTGGTTCAAAACCGGCTGTCGTCATCAATGGGTTTGAGTCCATGAAGGAGGCGATTGTTGTCAAAGCTGCAGATTTTGCTGGAAGACCTCAAGACCTTTTTATAAATGATGTCACCCAGAGAAAAGGTGGAATTTGTGATTTCACTCATTAACATGAAGTTCTTTTATCTCTAACATGAACTACATGAACATGGTTTATTTATTTTTTATTTCTCTAAATGTAATCATTGCTTTTTCATGTAAATCCTTTCACTACAGATTGTCATTATCTTTGATGATGATGAGTTGGACTCTTTATTGCAGGTGTGGTTATGGTCGATTACGGCCCGATGTGGAGGCAGCATCGCCGCTTTGCTCTGATGACCCTCAGGAACTTCGGTCTGGGGAAAAAGTCCATGGAGGACAAAATCCTTGAAGAAATTCAACACACAGTTAAAACGCTGGAAAAGAACAGCGGTAGGTTAAATTTCAACAAATTCCTGCTGTTTTTTTTGTCCAAACTGATGCTTTCAGTTATTGGTGAAATTTGGTATCAGGTTGACAAGTTACTTTGGAGAAGAATATTTATGTTATATCTTGTATTACAAGTTGGCTCACACAAGAATGACTTTTGTTTTAGAAGCATTTTCCTTTTAGTTTTACGTTTTTGCCACCTTATTCCTCTTCTGTTGTTCAGTAGAAATGCATCTTTTTTGGAGTAGAAATCCAAATACTACACTTTTCTAAAAGGCTTAGTAACTACAGAAATAGGGAAAATACATAAATTAATAAAAAAGTAAACTAAATGTTACATTTGACTGGTAACATTTCTAACTAACTGAAAGGAGTGTAATTAGCATAGCTAAAAAGAAAAATGTAAGTGACCTGCAAGTAAAAGAATCGTCTTGTTGTGCTGCAGCACATGCATAAAGTTTTTGTATGTAGACAATAACACGCAAAATGTTTATAACATTTTACACTAAAATCAGTCATTCGCCCACACACTAATGCTGCAGTAAGTAGTCATTAATTATGGTTGAGTTGTGTTTTTTCCATCAGTTTTATGAAATGTTTTGTCTTCACAGGTCAGACTCTGAGTCCTCAGGTCATGTTTCATAACGCCGCCTCCAACATCATCTGTCAGGTTCTCTTTGGGACACGCTATGAGTACGATGACGAGACAATCAAGCTGATTGTTCGCTGCTTTGCTGAGATGACTAAAATAGCCAATGGACCTTGGGCCATGGTGAGTTCCTGGATGATTTTCAGGCAAAACTAACTGACAAATGTGATTAACGACAGAATAAAACAAACAGTTCCTGGAAGTATGAAAGATCAAAGTATAAGTGTTGTAAATAATGTCTGCTTCATCAGTTACGCCACTAATCTGACAGATAAAAGAACCTTTGGTTTAAAAAAATGGGGCAAATGTTGCCTTTTGGTGCCCCCTTGTGGTAATCTGCAAAAATGTCGAAGTGAAATTAATGCAGTTTTGGTCCATTGATTTAATAATAATAATAATAATAATAATAATAATAATAATAATAATAATAATAAAAACATGTGCAATCAGAATCTTGAAACTTCCAGAAGCTTAATTTTACATTTTAAAGTTGATTCCATTACAATGTTACATTTGACATAAAACATGGCAATACAGGAGAATACATTTATTTTGAAAGCTTACTTATAAATTGCTATGATGTCATGATTAACTTGTACATACTGCATATAAAAAGTAAGATTTCTAAAACTCTGTGGTCCATGAATCGATTTAACTTATTGTAATAAGCGCCTGTCTCCACAGCTGTACGACTCCATCCCTTTAATTCGCCACCTGCCGCTGCCCTTCAATAAAGCCTTTGAAGACATGGAGGTAAAGACAGAAGCACAATAAATCCAACAACATGCACATCAGCTATCAAATATAATGAAATAGTAATTAAATGTGACTGAAATTCTTTTGTGTTTTAGATTTTTCTGAGTCATGCCAGCTGTTTGGTGAACGAACACAAGAAAACCAGAGTCTCCGGAGAGCCTCGGGATTTTGTTGACTGCTATTTGGATGAATTGGAAAATGTGTGTAAAAGCAACAAACTAAATTATGTTGTGTAAAAAAATTGCAAATGCAGTGAAATTATAAACTTTGTTCTCTTAATAGATTTTTCTTATCCACAGATTTTCTGCATATTTTAGTAAAAGCTGACAGAGCTTTCACATTTTCTTGTTTATCAATTTCAAATGAATCAATTTTTACTCTTCAGAAAAATGAAGACTCCATGTTTTCTGAGGAGCAGCTGAGAAGAATCACTTTTGATCTTTATGTTGCTGGGACGGACACCACCTCCAACACCCTGCTGACCGGGTTTCTTTACCTCATGAACTATCCACACATACAAGGTGAGCCTTCATTTATCACACCTCCCTAATTGTTTCTGCCATTTTCTGCAACAGTTCAATCATGGATTAAAGCATCTGCACAAAATAACCTTTGTGAAAAAGAGTATATGTTTTCATTGACATAATGAAAATGATCCGGTTGTTAGCACAGTTTAAAATTAATTCAATTTAACCTTAATTATACAAAAGTAATAATCTATGTGGCAAAACTGAAACAGTTTCTGCAGTTTCTGTATGTCAAAAACTAAGTACAGCCTTTCTGCTTCAGTAGAAAGCCACATATCACTCTTTAAAGAGCTCGATTTTCATCAGCAACTATGCAAAGTTTTGGAAGAACATAAAAGGGTGTAATAGAGTTAAAGTGTAAATACATCAGGAAAAACCAATGAGCTTAAAGAAGCAACTGTGGATGTCCATAAATCTGGGAAGGGCGGTTCCCCCAGCGTGACGCCCCTCATGTTGAAGACCTCTAGCCTGAGGTTTCACAGAAACAACTGTTCACAGCTGGGACAGTTGCACAGATACTGAAAAGTGCTGAAAAATTAGAACATCAAGAGCTCCTTATAGATTCTGCAGAACTGGGTTTGCAGCTTATGGGTTAATTTGGCAGGAAATGTGTTCAGACAGCTTAAGAAATGTCCATAAATACATAAAATGTGGATTATAAATGACATCTGCAACGATCCAGAACAAGGGTTTCTTGTTTTATACACATTTTTAATCTTTTCTTATTAATCCTACTTCTACATGTTTGTAATTTATCAGTACTTTTCAGAACACAGAGCACAGCTGCTGACTTATTCTCTCATAACTTAGAGCGATGTCAGCAGGAGATAGACCAGGTTCTGGACGGGAAGGATCGGGTCACTTTCGAGGACAGACTCAGCATGCCTTATATGCAGGTAGATTGTGATGTCATCATTCACCATTTGTTACTGCAAACTGACAAGTTGTTTTTTCTGTGTTTGTGGAAACAATATGTTTCTGTTTAGGCTGTGATCCATGAAATTCAAAGGATTGCCAACACGGTTCCCCTCAGTGCTTTTCACTGCACGACTAAAGACACAGACCTTATGGGTTACTCCATTCCCAAGGTAAGTGGAAAGTCATCGTTGAGCTTTGGCACCTCTTGGTGAACATGTGAGAATGTTTTTTTGCTGAACGTCAGGGTACAATGATCATCCAGAACCTGATCTCAGTGCTGAGAGAAGAGGGACAGTGGAAATTCCCTCATGAGTTCAACCCTGAAAACTTCCTGAATGAACAGGGAGAGTTTGTCAAACCTGAGGCCTTCATGCCTTTCTCTGCAGGTAAAACACAGAAAGTGATGCCACAACTGGAAATATGAAGCAGACAAAGATTGAGTTGCGCTTATAAAAGTGAAGATGGTTGTTTTTGCGCCTCAGGTCCTCGGACGTGTCTCGGCGAAGGTTTGGCTCGTATGGAGCTCTTCCTCATCACGGTTACCCTGCTGAGGAAGTTTAACTTCATCTGGCCGGAGGAGGCGGAAAAACCAGACTTCACTCCAGTCTTTGGAGTCACACTGACTCCTAAACCATACACCATGAAGGTCAAGCTGAGGTCAAATCACTGAGGCTGTTTGTGTGAGCCACCAGAAACAGATTGAAAGACTCCCTGGAATCTGCATATGGTTTGTTCTTTGGTTCTTCTGTTTCAAAATAAACGAGAAAAACAAAATATCTGATGTTTTTTTTTTAAGTTAAATTAGAAAAACAATTCCATAACTAAAAAAAGAGTAAGTTATTGGATTGGACTGAATGTACTGAAGTTTCAATGAAACCTTGACAGCATCTGCAACACAACGTCTCCATCTAGTGGTCAGAAACAGCCAAAAGATGAAAAATTATAAACTGGAGATCATAGCTCATTATCTCTAGATATGGTGCAATAATTTCCATCCTTTACAAATTCAGGTGATTTTTGTTCCTGCAAGGAAAAATGATGGCAACTTTACAAACATATGTATCGGTGTAGTTTTTGCTTGAGAGAATTGTCAACAACGACAGAAGAGCAACATCCCATAAATATCTGTATCTGTGCATATAGAGTCAACAAACGTGAGCACCATCAATCTGGCCATTTCCATTCAACGTAAATCCATTTTCATCTTCCTCCATCTGGGCTTCCTCCCATTGACCTGGATTCTCCAGTAGAAAGTCAATCAGGCCGATCAGCGAACAGAAGAAGATTTTAATAATAATTATTATTATTATTATTTACCTTATTATTTTCTGCACTATTTTGGAACTGTTGTGTGACTATCGTTTTACACAGTCACACTACAGGCTATTTTTATTTCTGGTCTATTAAATCATGCTATTCCACTAATTTGGAGTATAAAAGGAAAAACCATTTTCTGCAACTTATGTTTCCAAGCAGTTTTCAAGATTTAAGTTTGGTCCTTTTCCTTATACCATACCATACCATACCATACCATACCATACCATACCATACCATACCATACCATACCATACCATACCATTCCATACCATACCATACCATACCATACCATACCATACCATACCATACCATACCATACCATACCATACCATACCATACCATACCATACCATACCATTCCATACCATACCATACCATACCATACCATACCATACCATACCATACCATACCATTCCATACCATACCATACCATACCATACCATACCATACCATACCATACCATACCATTCCATTCCATACCATACCATACCATACCATACCATACCATACCATACCATACCATACCATTCCATACCATACCATACCATACCATACCATACCATACCATACCATACCATACCATACCATTCCATACCATACCATACCATACCATACCATACCATACCATACCATACCATACCATACCATACCATACCATACCATACCATTCCATACCATACCATACCATACCATACCATACCATACCATACCATACCATACCATACCATACCATACCATACCATACCATTCCATACCATACCATACCATACCATACCATACCATACCATACCATACCATACCATACCATACCATACCATTCCATACCATACCATACCATACCATACCATACCATACCATACCATACCATACCATTCCATACCATACCATACCATACCATACCATACCATACCATACCATACCATACCATACCATACCATACCATACCAACTTTATTTATAAAGCACTTTAAAACAACCACAGCTGAAACAAAGTGCTGTACATAAAATAGATAAAAACAAATACAGTTTAAAACAACAAACTTACAGTATAAAACTAGATCTCGCTGGAGTTGAAAGCCAAGTGAAATAAATGGGTTTTAAGACGAGCTTTGAAAGTGGACAGTGAACAATCTCTAGATAATCACTAGTGAAAAACTTTTTATCAAAATATTACAGTTTTAACATTTAATTCTTGAAATGTTAACTTTACCAGTTATATAGTCACTGTAAACTCTGATACATGCAGTAACTTAATCAATAAACCCAACCGATTACAAAAAGGAATTTAAACTAAAGACCATGATTAGAGTTCATCACTTCATTTTCTGTCTTCTTTTATGACCATCTATTTAAGCCAGATGTTGCCTCTCACTTTAAATGCAAAGAAGCAAAGGGCAGTCAGCGCTGAGATAGAGACTCAGCAGGTCGTCTCTTCGGTTTGATCCAATATAAGCCAACATGATTTCAGCCTTTCTGCTGGTGCTCTGTGTTGTCTTCCTTCTTTTTCAACTCAAACCTCAGAGACCCAAGAACTTCCCACCCGGACCCCCCAGTCTGCCTGTTCTGGGGAACCTTTGGAACCTGAACATAAAGAACCCCTTAAAAGACTTTGAAAGGGTAAGAAAAGTTATGATAAGCCATTTTCTTTCTTTCTTTCTTATTTATTGTTTTTACAGTTTATATAAAATTAATTTCCATGTCTTACTTAAATTGAAATTAATGCTTAAGAGCTTCAGTTTTACTTGTTCAGAATTGCAGGTACAGCATAAACTTTGACTCCATTGTTGATAAGCTAATATTTAGTGGAATAATTAGTTTGGGTTGAAGAAAACTTTGTACTGTATGTATGTAAGGCATAGGTTACTCTGCAACAACGTCAAACATTACATGAACTGAAATGGTGCCCAGCATAATGTCAGCATGACTCAGGAAATAAAGATAAAGATTCTTAGATAAATTATCCCAAAGTATCTCTGTTTTTACTGCATAAACACTTTTCATGTGTTTTACCTTTAAATACTCCCTCATAACAGTTAATTCATAACAGAAATTTCTAAAGATTTCAAATGCAAAAGTTATTAAAACATTTATAGCTACTGTCCTACACTATTTAGACAGAAAGTAAAGTGACGTTTTGCTTAGTCACAGCAAAACATAACTTTGCTGTGCACCAAACCAAAGTTTGGTGTTTGCAGGCTTGGAAACACTGATAAGCCAGAGCTAATGACAAATTTATTTCTGCTTGCTTTGCTTCAGGAATGGATTAGAAATGAGTGACCAGCCAACTGGTCAATAATCTAGTAGAAATATTGAAAAGATGAATAATCTCTAGATAATCACTAGTGAAAAACTTTTTATCAAAATATTACAGTTTTTTCAAAATTTCTGTGTTTCCATTGCACGTAATTATTTTTGAAATGTTAACTTTACCAGTTATATAGTCACTGGAAACTCTGATACATGCAGTAGGGAAAATGATGCGTAATTCCAGGATGGGAAAAACAGGTTTCAGGATAAGAGGTTCGTTCTGTTACCTAACCATCATCACTCCATTTCCAGTTCATAAATCTTTGGTCTTCTGCCTCGACTCATCGCCAGACTTCCCTCACAGGTTTAAGGATGGATGGATGAAGGAGTAAAAGACAAGGGAAAGAAATCTGAAAAACAAAACTTCTTTCTTCCAGCTGAGGCAGTCCTATGGAAAGGTCTACAGTCTGTTTTTGGGTCTGAAACCAGCTGTGGTCTTCAACGAGTTTAAGGCCATGAAGGAGGCGATGGTGACCAAAGCTGCTGATTTCGCTGGTCGTCCACAAAATATGTTAGTTTCTAACGTCACCGATAGCAAAGGTAATGTATGTGCACAAAAAGACTAGTAAGACCAATTTGGTATAAAAGTAAATGAAAGTATTCAAACTCCTGTTCTAATTGTCAGTATAATATACAGTACTAACTGTTTTGGTGGAAGATGAGCATTCTGTTTTTTTGCCATTATGTAATTATTCTAAACATTCAGTTTAGTTTAATCTAATCAAGATTGTTCCTCATTTTTGTTCATATAAAGAAAACACTTTGGAATAAAACAAAACCCAATCATTTGAGGTTACTGTGTAGCTAAACGTCACTTTGAAAGTTAGTTTTTTGTCTTTTATAGGTGTGATTATGGTTGATTATGGTTCGCTGTGGAGGGACCATCGGCGCTTTGCTCTCATGACTCTGAGAAACTTTGGTTTGGGAAAGAAGTCAATGGAGGAAAGAATCCATGAAGAGATTCAGCACATAATTAAAACTCTAGATGACAACACTGGTGCGTCTTCTGTGATTTTAAGCGTTATTCGGTTTCTTTGTTCTTGCTTGTGAGCCTGTCACATTTTAGTCTGGCGTCTTTTTCAGGTAAAACTTTGAGTCCTCAGTTCCTGTTTCATAATGCAGCCTCCAACATCATCTGCAAGGTTCTGTATGGAACACGTTACGAGTACGAAGACGAGACGATTAAAATTATTGTCAGATGCTTCACTGAGATCATCAAAATAGCCAACGGACCGTGGGCTATGGTGAGTCACAGCGTCAGACAGAAATGGGATGAAGTGGGTAACGAAAGCAGATTATGATGATCACAATCTGAACATTTTCAGATAATATTCTTGGTTTAAGTTGTTGTGTAAAGTTTGAACAAATCACTGGTATTAATCTTTTCAAACACTAAAGCACCTTTTTGCTAGATTTATTTTTCTCAGTTGAAACCTCTAAACAATAAACAAATCAAAGATCATATTGTGAAAGTATTTCTTAAAGTTTGACTGTCATAATAAAAGTTGAATATCTTAAGATGAGAAATGTTTTATCCAGACAGGATCTGTTTTTTTTATATATATATTTAATTCGTGTACTGTAATAATTTCTCTTTTTTCTCAGATCTATGACTCGTTTCCTTTGATCCGTTCCCTCCGGTTGCCCTACGACAAAGCCTTTCAGAATATGGAGGTAATGTGGGACAGAAAGTTATTTTGACAAGTTCACACACTCAATATTTCTCTCTATATATTCTTTTTTTTTTTTGCTTTCCTGTCACCCCTGGATAAAGATTGGCTGATATGATTTCTCATCAAGTACATTTCAATAAAGATTTAGAGAGATTAGCTACAAAGCAAGAGCCCACAGCTGCTTTTTCCTAAGAGATTTGTGAACAAGCTGCAGCTCAAACACAAAGACTTAACTTGTAGAATAAAAATGGAAACAATTTTTTTTCACTTGCAAAGCAAATGTGTCAGTTTTCACAAACAGGTTAAATATTTAATGCTAGAATAATCAAATCAAACAGAATGTTATTGAAATTTCTCTGAACGTCTGGAGGAATCTAATCCAATAGCAGAAGGATTTCTGTAACAACCTCATTTGTAGGCTTTCCAACATAAAGCTCTAACTTTAAGCACAGACTTTTCTTTTCATATTCAGTCTGTGCCCTTAAAATATAATGTGCAATACGACACCAAAAAACACAAAAAATAGACAAATTCTTCCAAAGAATGTAAACTAACTTCTGCGCTGTAGACTTTTCTGAACATTGCACGACGTTTGGTGAATGAACACAAGAAGAGCAGAGTCCCTGGAGAGCCGCGGGATTTGGTCGACTGCTACCTGGACGAGCTGGATAAGGTGTGTCATCCTTATCTTACTTGTGTTTTTTGTGAAAGAGATGAGCCACATTAATGAGAAATAGCCAAACGAAATATCTGCCTTATTAAGATAAAATGCACTTTATGGATCCCAGGATACAGAAATTATTTTGCATCATTAGCACAACATAGAAAACCAGTCTACTCAACATAAATACAAATAAAGTACAAAATCAAATGCAAATTTATTTACAAAAAAATCAATGCCACCTAAAGATGTACATTTTCATCATCACATCATCATAAATGCAATTATTCATAATTAAATACAACAAAAGTAAGAAACTGATTGTTGAAGTTTTTGTCATGTTACAAAGTTTTTTTTTATTTGAATTTTATGCCTCTTTGTCTTCCAATGTTCAGAGAGCTGATGATTCCACTTTTTCTGAGGAACAGCTGACAAGAATGACTTTTGACCTCTATGCTGCTGGGACGGACACCACCTCCAACACCCTGCTGACCGGATTTCTCTACCTCATGATTCACCCTCACATTCAAGGTGCACTTTGACGTGGAAAAACATTAACTTCTTCAAATGTATTCAGTTGAACTGATAACCATACATCGCCTGTTTTCCCTCCCTCAGAGCGATGTCAGCAGGAGATCGACCGGGTGCTGCAGGGACATGATCAGGTCACTTTTGAGGACAGGCACAGCATGCCTTACACACAGGTGAAATGCTTCCTAAAGACGTAGTCAATGAATCAATCATGGAGTTACTGAAAACAGTGTTTTTCAACAATAATGCTCAAACACTTTCTATTATTGAAATAGAAATGTGTCACATGTTGAATAAACCATGGATCACATCAAAAAAATACTTTATCACATGTTGAAAATGGGAACCACATGTGACCACATATGAATTTCATGGGATTTTATCTTGAAGTTCTATTTATGTGGCCATCTGGAGTCTTGAAGGTCACAGAAGTGCTTTACTGTTTTAATGGAACTCAGTGTTTCAGCATGATTGCAGTTTTCTGGAAATTTGCTCCAGATTTGTGCAGCATAGAAGCTGAATGCTGCTTCTCCATGTTTGGTTCTGAACCAGAACCAGAAGACCTGAAAGTTCTGGAAGGTTGATACGACAGCAGAAGATCATTAAAGTATTGTGATGCTAAACTGTTCAGTGATTTATAAACTAACAACAGTATTTTAATGTCTTTTCTCTCAGTGAAGGACTTTAGAACTAGAATTATGTGCTCCATCTTCCTGGTTTTAGTCAGAACACCAGCAGCAGCGTTCTGGATCAGCTGCAGCTGGAGGATTGATATTTTTAAGCAGACCTGTGAAGACGTTGTTGCAGTAATCAATGCAACTAAAGATAAACTCATGGATGAGTTTCTCTCGCTCTTGCTGAGACATTATTCCTCTGATCCTGGAGATGTTCTTCAGGTGATAGAAGGCCGACTTTGTAACTGTTTTTATGTTTCTTTGAAGCTTCAGATCAGAGTCCATCACCAGATTTAAGGCCTGATCTCTACTTTCCAGCTGTAACACCTGAAGCTGTGTGTTGACTCTAGATTGTTCCTCTTTAAGTCCAAAGATAATTACTTCAGTTTTTACAGTCAGGTCAGATTTTTTCTGCTTGGTGACCTGTTTCTGGTTGGTAAACTGTACCTTTTTCAGATTCTGTGCTCTTGTTTTTGCTCTATCAATAAGTGTAATTGCATGTCATGATGGAGAGATTTTAAGAAATCTGCTTTGTTCCAGGCTGTGATCCATGAGATTCAGAGGATTGCCAACACAGTTCCTCTCAGTGTCTTCCACTGCACCACTAAGGACACAGAGCTCATGGGATACTCCATTCCTCAGGTTGTTAGCATCTTGATCTATTAATCTTTATGTGTGGCTGAAAATAAGACAAACAACTTGACTGCTTTTCTCTCCCTTTTTGATTTTCTTCAGGGTACAATGATCATCCAGAACCTGACCTCAGTCCTGAGGGAAGAGGGACAGTGGAAATTCCCTCATGAGTTCAACCCTGAAAACTTCCTGAATGAACAGGGAGAGTTTGTCAAACCTGAGGCCTTCATGCCTTTCTCTGCAGGTAGATTTAATGTCAGTGAGATGAGACACACTAAGGTATATTAAAATATCTGAACATGGTTGTTTTGTGAACCAGGTTCTCGAATTTGTCTTGGAGAGGGTCTGGCTCGCATGGAGCTCTTCCTCATTATGGTGACTCTGCTGAGGAAGTTTAAGTTCATCTGGCCGGAGGATGCAGGAGAACCTGACTTGACACCAGTCTTTGGAGCAACTTTGACTCCCAAACCTTATTTGATGAAGATCCAGTTGAGAGGAAATCAATGATGTTTTCTGCAGAAACTGAAGGAAGGACTCAATGATAAAACATTTTTTTTTTTTTTGCTCATTCATTAATAAGACACAACACTATCTTCAAAGTCCCACACTGTTTATTTTAATTGCTACCTGACAAGACGTTTTATAATCTGCTGGTATGAATTTTATTGTATTACTTTCTTCAGAGAAAACTGATCATCAGGCAAGTCAATAAACAGATTCTGGTTGTACTCTTGGTTATCATTACAACAAGAAATTGTGTCAGAGTCTGTATATTTTATTTAAGAATCACATTATTTGACTGGGATTGGAGATGAAAAATTTATTGATTTAGGATTTAATGGGTTATTAAATTAAAATTAGTTCCAATGGATGAGACTTTAATTTTAGTGTTGTAGTTTGACCTCCAGTGCGCTGTCCTTAAACGAAGAAAGTTGATACAGAAAAAGGAAGAAGAAACGGCCAAATATGCTGCGTTCACACTGCAACCTAAAGTGACTCAATTCCGATTTTTTGGGATGAAATGCGACCCGAATCCGATCTTTTCATGACAATTCAAATGCGACTATCATTGAGCCGTGTTGCATGACAAAACAGCATCAGTTTTTCAATCAAAAATGACTGATTTGCTACAAAGACGAGGATTTGATGAGCGAGAAAAACGAGAAGATAATGTAAAAAAAAAAAAAAAAAAAAAGCAACATGATCTAAAAAACATAACGCCAATTTTCATTTTATTTTGAGTGCTATGCACTTAACGGAGTAAAGTTTTTACTTTTTTCTGTTTGTTTACTCAGTATTTAATATAGCTGTCTCAAAATTATGTTAACATTTAATAATCCTTCATTAAAAATGAAGTGACGTCATGGAGAAACGATTCACATCTTGATGAAAGAGACTGAAAGTTTCTAAACACAATGGCACCATCTAGTGGTCAGAAATAGTAGAAAATGTAAAACCACCTACAGAAAGTCAGTTCTCTTCTCCTTTAGGATTAATTCAGATTTCAGATCCTTAATGACAATACAATATTAGAAATATATTAAATATGCAATAAACAAATAATTCAGTTCTTTTTTTAAGCAATAAACATGTAATACCTAAAATGCGAAAATGCTCCTTTGGTGAATAAACATTTGATTATTTGTAGCAAAGGATGCACCTGCAGCTAAAAAAAAAATCCCAGAAATATGAAAAACTTTTCTGCTTGACATAACATCAATACTGTGTAGGGCTAATCTGATGATACTTTTGGTTTAACCAATTAATAATTGGATAGCAAAAGGTGCTTTTTACAGAATTTAAAACTAAAACTGACACTTAAGAAAATCTGGATAGAAAATATTTGCAGACAAAGAAGTTTTTTTTCATTTTAAACAGAAAATGTATACATATCTGTACAGCTTTGGCTTATTTATTGCTCTGACTGTTCTTGTCATGCTGGATTTGAGTTTCTTTACCCACATGCAGGTTTAGACATCAGACCGAAGGTTTTTGGTTCAAAGATTTATTTTACAGTTATTATGGAATATGTTGAGCCTAAGTTGTCCTCTGGTTTCGGGAGCGGCTGGGCGGCTCAGGTACTGCTTGGAGAGGGGAGGTTAGTAGGAGCGGGAGTGAGAGGATCTTGACAGGGAAGTGGAGGGAAGGGCTTACAGATCATCTGATGGAGGATTGCCGAGGAGGAGTAGGATCCGTTGGTGCAAAGGCTCCGAGAAGGTTGCGGGCTCAGGCGGCAGACGAGAGCGTCTAGTCCGGAGGGCGATCGGTGTCAGTGTTCGGGTGGGCGTGGTAACTTAGCTGGATCCAGGCAGAGCATCCAAAATCTGAGAAAAAACAATAAAGATTAACTTAGTCCTTAGTCAACGTGAAGCTTGGCAAACCTTGGGATTGACTCTGACCAACAAGTGGGACCATCGAGCGATGAATGGCTGCTCCACCGCTTCTTAAGAATCCTGCAGCCGATTTCAGAAATCCGCTTCAGGTGCGTCAGCCTGCCGGAACGCTCCCACGAAGATTGTCTATTCGGAGGAGCACTCACACCAACTTGAATCCTAACATTACCCCTCCCTCAATGACCGCCACCGGCGGTCCCGAGGAACCCGAAGCTCTGGTGGCATGAAACCTCCTCAGAACCGACTTGTCCAGAATAAAAGACCTGGAAACCCAGGAGCGTTCCTCCGGGCCGTAACCTTTCCAATCCACCAGATATTGAAAACCCCTGCCCCTCCGACGTACGTCAAGGATTTTATTAATAGTATAGGCCGGACCCCATCAATATAGCGGACGGGAGGAGGGGAGCCAACTGGAGGGCAAAGCGGGCTAGACCTCACAGGCTTCAGTAGGGAAACATGAAACACGGGATGAACCCTGAGAGAAGGTGGGAGCCTGAGTCTGACCGCAGCGGGGTTCACAATAGCCTGGATCTCAAACGGACCTAAATACTTAGGAGATAATTTCTTAGATGCAGCTTTTAGGGGAATGTCTTTGGCCGACAGCCAAACCCTCTGACCCGGCCTGTAAACAGGAGCTTGACGTCTCTTCCTGTCCGCAAAGCGGCGATTCTGGGCAGCGGTGCGATTCAATGCTGCAGTAGCATCCCTCCAAATGCGCTGGCACTTCCGAATGTGGTGTTGGGCTGACGTGACGGCATTCCGGGATTCGTCCGATGGGAGGAGAGGAGGCTGATAACCTAGTGAACATTCAAATGGGGACAAACCAGAAGCGGAAGAAACGTGGCTGTTATGTGCATACTCAACCCAGGGCAGCTGGGAGGACCATGAGGAGGGGTTGGAGGAGCACAGGCAGCGAAGTGTAGATTCCATCTCCTGATTCATGCGCTCCGTTTGCCCATTGGTCTGAGGATGAAACCCAGAAGATAAAGATACCTTGGCCCCAAGCGCGCCACAAAAGTCTTTCCATACCTTCGAGATAAACTGGGGTCCCCTGTCAGATAGAATTTCCCTAGGAATCCCATGGAGCCTAAAAACATGCTTAATAAGCAAAAGAGCAGTTTCCGCAGCAGACGGCAATTTTTTAAGGGGCACAAGGTGACAGGCCTTGGAAAAACGGTCCACGATGGTAAGTATGACTGTGAACCCCTTAGAAGGGGGCAGGCCGGTGACAAAATCAAGAGCAATATGGGACCAAGGACGTCCCGGAACGGGTAAGGGCTGCAAAAGCCCACTGGGAAGTTGATGGCTGGACTTGTTCTTAGCGCAGGAGGGGCAGGCCGAAACATACTCTTTCACATCCTTATGAAGGGACGGCCACCAAAAGGAGCGCCTGATTAATGCCGCGGTCCGACTGGCGCCCGGGTGACCAGAAAAACGGGAAGCGTGAGCCCAATGGATCAGACGGGAGCGAACAGAAGAAGGAGCGTAAATTCGACCCGGAGGACCAGTACCTGGATCAGGATCCGACTGCTGAGCTTTGAGGACCTGGTCAGAGATGTCCCAGGAAACCCCCCCCATGATGCATGAGCGAGGAACTATGGTGTCCACAATAGGGTCCTCATCAGAGGAGAATTGTCGGGAGAGAGCATCTGGTTTCACATTCTTAGAACCTGGTCTATATGAAATGATAAAGTTGAATCTGGAAAAAAAAAAGAGACCATCTTGACTGTCGCGGATTCAACCGGTTAGCCGTCTGCAGATAGGATAAATTTTTGTGATCGGTCCAAACCACAATCGGAAGCTCAGCCCCCTCCAACCAGTGGCGCCACTCTTCAAAAGCCATTTTAATCGCCAACAACTCCCGGTCCCCCACGTCATAGTTTCTTTCTGAAGGAGAAAGTCGGCGAGAAAAAAAAGCGCACGGATGCATCTTGTGATCAGAAGGCGAGGTTTGAGATAACACCGCCCCCACCCCTGAATCGGAAGCATCCACTTCCAATGTGAATTGCCTAGTGGGGTCTGGCTGGATCAGGACCGGGGCATTAGCGAATTTCTTTTTCAGAGCCGAAAACGCTGCGTCAGCTTCCGGAGTCCAGGAGAACTGGACCTTGGTGGACGTAAGACTGGTCATGGGGGCCGCAGTCTGACTGTAATTACGGACAAACCTTCGATAAAAATTAGCAAACCCCAAAAAACGTTGTAGTTGCTTGCGAGAGGATGGGGTCGGCCAATCCAAAACTGCGCGAATTCTCCCGGGATCCGGCTTCACCTGCCCACTCTCCAAAATGAACCCCAGGAACGAGATGGAAGGCACATGAAACTCGCATTTTTCCGCTTTAACATACAAACTATTTTCTAACAGACGCTGTAGGACCAACCTTACATGCCGTTTATGTTCCGCCAGGGTCTCAGAAAAAATCAGGATGTCGTCCAGGTAACAAACACAAATTGATCCAGAAAATCACGCAACACGTCATTGATAAGGGACTGAAAACGGCCGGGGCATTCGTCAGACCGAAAGGCATGACCAGATATTCGAAATGGCCAGCGGGGTTTTGAACGCCGTTTTCCATTCATCACCTTCACGGATGCGCACCAGATGGTAAGCGTTTCGTAGGTCCAATTTAGTAAACACGGTGGCACCCTGTACCGGTTCAAAAGCTGATGTGAGAAGGGGAAGGGGATACTTATTTTTAACCGTGATCTGATTAAGACACTTATAATCAATACATGGTCTGAGAGAGCCGTCTTTCTTAGACACAAAAAAAAATCCCGCCCCAGCGGAGACGTGGGGGCGAATAATGCCTGCAGCGGGACTCGTTAATATATTTTAGCATGCTCTCCCTCTCTGGCTTAGAAATGTTATAAAGTCGACTGGAGGGCAACGGAGCACCGGGAAGGAGATCAATAGCACAGTCATAGGGGCGGTGGGGGGAAGTGACAGTGCTTTATTTTTCTGAAAAACCATTTTCAAATCATGATATTCAGGGGGAATCTTGGACAGGTCCAGAATGTCCTCCTCATCTCCCGGGTGATGTCCAATTGTGGAGTCGTCTGGGCGGCCTGTAGACAGGTTGAGTGGCAGGTTCTGCTCCATGATTCCACTCTCCCCTCATTCCAATAAGGTGAGGATTGTGCTGTCTCAGCCAAGGGAAACCCAGCACCAGAGGGGTCTGCGGAGAGGGAAACACATAGAAGATCAAAATCTCACGATGATTTCCTGAAACCAGAAGTTCAATGGGTTTAGTCTGTTGTGAAATGACGGGCAAGACTCCTCCATCCAGGGCGGAAACTTGGACCGACGGGGAGAGAAATTGTAGGAATATTTAGTTTCTTTACCAAATTTTCATCGATCAGGTTCTGCTCACATCCAGAATCAATTAGAGCCGATACGTTAACTGACCTTTGGTTGATGAAAAGGGATGCAGAAAGAGAAAGTCGGGAGATCAAACTGGAACAGCCACCCACCAGGACTCCCGTTATCACTGGTGGGCTCCGCCTTTTAACCGAGCCGGGCATACGGCGACGAAGTGGCCAGTAAGACCGCAATAGAAGCAGGCACGAGCTTCTAGTCGTCGTTGTCGTTCTGTGGGGGAAATTCTGGTGCGGCCGATCTGCATGGGCTCCTCGGAAGAAGGCGTGTTCGGGATGGTTTCCATAGCAACCTCTGGTGCGAGTTTGTCTGAAAAAGGCACAGGTTTAAATGCTCTCTTCTCTCGGGACCTTCCTCTAAGTCCTATATCGACCTTAATAGCCAAAGCTATCAAGTTCTCCAAACTGGCTGGTTCATCCCTGCATGCCAGTTCATCTTTGAGAGTCTCATTGAGAGCCTGCATGAAAGCCCCTTTGAGAGCTTCGTCATTCCAACCAGACGTGGCTGCTAGAGTGCGAAAATCAATGGCAAATTCAGCTACAGAACGGGACCCCTGCTTCAGGTTCCAAAGCTGATGCGAGATTTCTGAACTGGACTCTGCATAACCAAAAGTTTGCTTTAACTCGTTCAAGAAGGTAGCAAAAGGTGTTTGTGAAAGAGATGAGAGGCTAAATTTAGCTTCTGCCCATCTCAGGGCTCTTCCCTTCAAAAGTCCGATCATGTAAGCTATCTTGGCGGGGTCATCCGGAAATGAGCCTGGAGCTCTGCAAAATACAATAGAACACTGCAGAATGAATCCTCCACACTTTCCAATCTCTCCCGAATAATGTTCTGGTGTCGGGGGTGAAATCTCACGAGCTCGGAGCGACCCACCTGAAGCCGCTACCGCTATCTGCTCCACCCCCGGAGGAAGGACTGGGGCCGCTGCTCCCGCTGTAATTTGAGGCTGAGGGTTTTGCTCCAGCCTGTGTGATAGTTCCGAGACTGTGGTTCTCAACTGATCCATCAGCTGGCCCTGGAAACTCTGCTGGTCTAATAAAGTGCGAAGCATAGCGTCATGGCGGGCTAGGAGTTCTGCTGAACTTAAACCGGGTCTTGTGTGAGAACCTGCTGGGTCAACATGGCTCGATGGTTCTGTCATGCTGGATTTGAGTTTCTTTACCCACATGCAGGTTTAGACATCAGACCGGAAGGTTTGGTTCAAAGATTTATTACAGTTATTATGGAATATGTTGAGCCTAAGTTGTCCTCTGGTTTCGGGAGCGGCTGGGCGGCTCAGGTACTGCTTGGAGAGGGGAGAGGTTAGTAGGAGCGGGAGTGAGAGGATCTTGACAGGGAAGTGGAGGGAAGGGCTTACAGATCATCTGATGGAGGATTGCCGAGGAGGAGGTAGGATCCGTTGGTGCAAAGGCTCCGAGAAGGTTGCGGGCTCAGGCGGCAGACGAGAGCGTCTAGTCCGGAGGGCGATCGGTGTCAGTGTTCGGGTGGGCGTGGTAACTTAGCTGGATCCAGGCAGAGCATCCAAAATCTGAGAAAAAACAATAAAGATTAACTTAGTCCTTAGTCAACGTGAAGCTTGGCAAACCTTGGGATTGACTCTGACCAACAAGTGGGACCATCGAGCGATGAATGGCTGCTCCACCGCTTCTTAAGAATCCTGCAGCCGATTTCAGAAATCCGCTTCAGGTGCGTCAGCCTGCCGGAACGCTCCCACGAAGATTGTCTATTCGGAGGAGCACTCACACCAACTTGAATCCTAACAGTTCTTCTTACAAATGGCCTTTTTGAGTTTGTAAACTCCAGTTAACGATCAATTGATTACTTAAATAATTGATGATTATTTCAATAATCGATTCATCATCATTTATTGTTTGATCCCCATCTATCTGGGCAATTTCTTAAAAGTTATGAACAAATGAGTGAGGGGGAAAAAAAAAGAATCCAGTTGATAATTTTCAGTTCATTCCCGCCATGAGTCCTGTCAGGACTTTAACCCTGAGCTCAGTGTTTGAGTCACCCAGCGGCGCTTTCAGCGTGTATTGTTGAACTGTTTTGTGTGATCAGTGTATTGTTAGACTCTTGGGATTGTCATTGGGAGGCCGTTGGTGGGTGGGCTTGTATTCTGTGTGCTGACATGGATGTTCTGTGAGAGCATTCAGTTGGATGATGACAGGGGGAGAAAAGTGAAAAACGATAATCTGCCCAAAAAGACTGAAACAAACAGAGAAAGTCTAACTGAGATGGAACCGAAGAGACCTGGGATTATCGGAGACGGATCACTCACTAACATGGACTAATCTGGGAAGCGCCACAGGTTTCCTTACATTTGGTTTTCCTGCTGTGAAGTGGACCAGGAAGGGTGAACATGCAGGAGTCTCCAGGTGTTGCCGGTGTGGACGGAAGCTACGGCAGCAACGTGCCGGCGTTTCTCACCAAACTGTGGACGCTGGTGGAGGATCCAGACACCAACCACCTCATCTGCTGGAGCGCTGTGAGTTCTGCTCAACCAGGGCCAGCCCAAGCATTTTTGGGACCCAGCGCATGTTTTCATTTGGGGCCCCCAATGCTAACATCTCAGGGGTATCAGACTAGTTTTCATTTTTGATCATGAATGTTCTTAAAGGGCTGATTGTGCTAGAATATATCAACAAACCAGGTAAACAAACTGTTAGAACTGTCTCTGCACTTAAGTATGACGGTAAATGTGACTTTTTATTACTGGCAAATAATCAATCACAAACTATAACTTTTCATCATGTAAAACTGAGGCAGAAGTGTAGAAGTCAATTATGTTTTTGATAATTTTTGGGGAAAATTTTCAATGAACTCAATTATGCATTGGCACAAAAATAACTCAATTTAATGTTGAGTTAATTTCCGCAATCGGAGTAAAACGGAAGCATTGACTTATATAATTTGGCAATAAAGAGATAAAAATCACTTTGATTTGATTAATAAAATAATATTTAAGCACACAACTTAAATAAGGTTCTATTTATGGATACCTCTGGAATCTAGAGGGCCATGTAATAATCGATGGCGGGCCAGATTTGGTCCCCAGACCTTGTGTTTGACACATGCAACATGTCAACACCAGCAGCTTCACCAATCCTAACACCTGCTATCATTTGTAATTAACTTACATCATACCAATGCTCTGAAACATAAAGAATAAGAAGTTTTATGCAGTACTTCTGCTTTTAATTCCTGAAATGGTTAAATAATTCAACAAACACTTCAGCCCTGACACTTTATCTGTTTTACAGACAGGAACAAGTTTCCATGTGTTTGACCAGGGCCGCTTTGCCAAAGAGGTTCTGCCGAAATACTTTAAACACAACAACATGGCGAGCTTCGTTCGACAGCTCAACATGTGTGAGTATAACCCTCTTGTTTTTTTAACTCATGTCATCGGTGTGTTTACTCCTCCGCTCTGCCGGATTTTATCAGACGGTTTCCGTAAAGTGGTGAACATCGAGCAAAGCGGCCTGGTGAAGCCTGAAAGAGACGATACGGAGTTCCAGCACCTCTACTTCCTGCAGGGACACGAGCACATGCTGGAGCACATCAAGAGGAAGGTGTGTATGCACACACACACGCACACACACGCACACACACAAAACACTATCTGGAACTAAACTATCAAACATGAAAACTGATCTTCAGGAGAATGTATTTTCTTTGCTGGAAATGTCTAAAAAAGGGTTGTCAGCTCAGACAAAGCTGCAAACAGCAGCTTTAAAAAATGCAAAATCCTCAACAAAAATACAAAAAACCAGTTTGGGTTCATCGAGGTCTGCTTTGGTGTTCAATTCCATGTCAGACGATTTTAATTTGTGGGTCTAAACGTCTCCATCTCCAGTGGGGCAAAGTTGTATCATTCAGGGGCCACAAATGGCCCTCGGGCCACACGTTGAATACCTCTGGCTTAAACTATAAGGGGCTGATGCAAAATGTACTTTAAAGCAGCTTCAAATGATTATTAAACTATGCAAACTTACAAATGAATGTAGTAGTTGCTCTGAAACAAGAAGCTTTTGGTGGAAACAAACAATAAACTTTGTTAATAAACCATGACTTCAAAAGAGTCTCTGGATAAATGAATTTATAAATGAGTTTATCTCATTTATCCAGCTGAGCCACAGAGGGGACAGGAGGTTTGAAATTGGCGGACCGTAGGTTCGATTCCAGTTTCCTCCTGTCAGGTCTGAGTACTTAGCTCTAAATTCTCAGCTGATCTCTCAAAAATTTAAAAGCTTACTAGTATTTTTGTCTAGTTTCTTGTGCAAATATCTTAATACACTTGACCTGAGATGAAACTGGCTGACAGGTAACTTTTTAGCAAGATATAGTCTATAATGCTATTATTTAACACCAAATTTCACAAATAACAGAGTTTGGAATATAAATACGATGAGATAAAATCGGAGTTCAACAAATTATTTCAAATAATAATTATTTTCAAATATCAAGATTATTTTTTTTAGCCCTTGATGTTTTTGTCCAGGTGTCCATCGTGAAAAGCGAGGAGACTAAAGTCCGGCAGGAGGACCTCAGCAAGCTGCTGTACGAAGTTCAGCTTCTGAGGACGCAGCAGGACAACATGGAGTGTCAGATGCAGGACATGAAGCAGTGAGTGAACACACAGTTTGCTTTTAAATACAGTTACACCTCAAATTATCCTGTGAAGGCGCTGTTACAGTAATCAATGCAACTAAACACATGGATGAGTTTCTCTAGCTCTTGCTGAGCCATTAGTCCTCCAATCCTGAAAATGTTCTTCAGGTGATAGAATGTCGACTTTGTAACTGTCTCTATGTGGCCCTGAACGTTCAGGTCAGAGTTCGTCACTGCTCCCAGGTTTCAGGCCTGATCTTTGGTTTTTAGTTGTAATAACTGAAGCTGTGGGTTGATTCTAGATTGTTCCTCTTTAGGTCCAAAGATAATAACTTCAGTTTTGTTCCTGTTCAGCTGGAGAAAGTTTTGGCTCATCCACACATTTATCTGCTCTAAGCATCTGATCAGTGATTGGATGGGTTCTGAGTCACCTGGTGACATCATAATGTAGAGTCCAACCCAACTCTTGGGTCATTTTTCCTGCATTTGTCCACAGTTCTTCTGCAAATCCACAAAACACGTCGCTCAAAAGAAAAAGTTACATTTTATAAAATTTTATACACAAATGTGTAGTTTATTGATGTGTCTGTGCAGAATTTGTTGATTTCAATAAAAAGTTTTTTGGATCCACTACTGTGAATCATTGCGGTATCAGAGCAACTTCTGATCTGACATTTTATTCTTCCCGTTATGTTGGAACCGATCAGTGAGCGGATGAACTGACATTTTCTCCAGAGGCCACAGCTGCTGAAAATAGCTGCTCTGCTTCTATTGTGTGAAGGAGCGGCTTTATGCTCAGCATTGTTCGCTGATGTGAGGAGAGAATGTTCATCTCATCACCTGACTGACACACACACACACACACACACACACACACACACACACACACACACACACACACACACACACACACACACACACACACACAAAACCTCCTTTTATTCAAAATCCTGATTCATAAAACATCTAAATGATAATGCATGAACCAAGTTTTGGTTTTGTGATGAGCTAAAATGTTGCTCTTCTCATTAGTTTCTACCTTCTGGCAGCTTAACTGACAAGGTAACCATGATTCACCAATCGCTTTAGCTTTTGGATTTGCAATATTGATCATATTGATTCTGCACCCTGCTAAGTCACAACTGATGATTATGACTCAGGTTGTTGTGCAGCCTTGGTCCTCACAACAACAATGTCTGCAAATACATTTAAACTCCAGATAAGACTTTTCACCTTCTAATCAGGTTTTGTTTTTGCTCCTGCTGGCAGGCAGAATGAGGTTCTGTGGAGAGAAGTGGTTTCACTGAGACAGAACCATACACAGCAACAAAAGGTCATGAACAAAGTGAGTTCACTTCTGAAAACAAAAAGTGATTCAAACAGGAACAATTAAAATGAATTCATGGTCCATGGAGGAAATCCGATTCCATAGTTTGAGATCAGAAATGATTTCAACACTTGGATCAGAGGTTCAGCCAGGAGCTTTTTATAAAAAGATAATGTATAATTTCTGATAAATATTGTAGAAAATTTGTTTGAGTTCTGAGCCAGGATGCTGATTCATGCTGTGCTTTCTCCCTCTTCCCTAGCTGATCCAGTTTCTGTTCAGCCAGATGCAGCCCAGCACACCCAGCGCTGTGGGCCTGAAGAGAAAACTGTGAGTGAACACACACACACACTCACACACACACACGGCAACTGTCAACAAAAACGGGACAAACAGAGCTGTGCTGCGGGGTGGAGGGAAGGGCTGACAAACCAAAGCATCTAACTCAACGCTCGCTGTGAATGGAGACATGTGCTGAATCAGTCAGGCAAGGCAGCGCCACACGGTGTGTGACCTTGTTGTAGTCAATGTGGGTGAAATGCTGGTTCAGCGTTGTTGCTGAGCGTGAACAAGGCCAGGATGAGAAAGGAGAGGCACACCCAAATACAAAAGTGACAAAAAAAAAAGAAAAAACTTTGGATATCCACGTCTGTTTGGTAGAAACATACAAGTTTTCTTTCTTTCATCTTTATGAAATCCAGATTTCTTTTGTTACTTTCTGGATTAGTCACAATGTGTTAACCATTTAAAGAGGTTTAACCAAAAAACAAGAAGATCTGAAGCAGAGCAACTGTGCCCGGTCACTGTCCCACTCAGCTCCTTCAGACTAGCCAGCAGCAATTAGCAAACACCTGTTGGAACTGTACATTAGTGAAAAATTTCATACAAACTACTTCTTTGTGAAACCCTGATCAAAACATTGTTAAAGGTGGGTTAAATAGAGAAGCCATGTTGTGATAATATCCTGAAAGAGAAGGAGTTTTTAAAGAGACGGAGACAATTTCTGTCTCTTTAAAAACAGAAATTTTAAATTACAAAGTTAAGTCATATTTAATATATTTATAAGCATAGCTACTTGACTTTGGTATAAAGTGTCACTATGTGCCTAGAAAACACTTAATACTCTCATTAAGGTCTGAAAGATTGTCATAAAAAATTCTCAATTGTTCTTTTCATTTTATTAGACTGTAGCCTTTTTGCAAACTTTTAAATTCAAATTCCAGACAAGTTCTATTGAATCAATATATTCCTACATAGAGTCAGGTTGGTTCAAATGGCTCTAATTTCCTTTAATAATTAAAATCACTGATGGCTGCATTTTGCATTGTCTCAGGCTACATTTGTGGATGAGTTTAAACATGTTTGTTTGATTTAAAAAGAAAAAAAAGCAAAAATATCTTAAAGAGGATAAATGCTGTTTTCATGGCTCATTGGAATCACAACAATCAGACAGGGAACAAAATAATAAGCTTTATCCGAGTCACTGATTGAACAGAAAAAGTATTTCCCTTAAAGAGTTTCAACACCTGTTTGAATTGAATTACTCATGCATTGTCTGATTTTGATGCCAGAAAACAAGAAGCCAAACGTCTGGGTTTAATAATTACATAAATGATTTTTCAAAAAGTGAATATTGAGCTTTAACTGAAATATGTCACTTCAGCACACCTGGAAACCATTTTTAACTCTTCCTTCAATTCAGTCAATTCCTTCAAGTCAGTCAATCCTCCTGACTGAACCATTTTTATCCCATCAGGCCTCTGATGTTGGATGACGTCGCTCCCAGCCCTCCTCTGCCCAAGTTCAGCCACAGCCATCCCATCGAGCCGGTGCATGAATCCTACTACATCCACTCAGTAAGTAAACCAGACAATTATAGTAAAATGTAACAAAGAAACGTGACCTAAACGTCAGTAAGCCATATTAGATTTGCTAGAACGTCTCGCTCTACAGTTATTAATGCTAAAATAGTGACCTCCCATGTTCAGAACAAATGTTGCTAGCAGCCACATGAACTGAACCTCAGCTGCAGCTTCCAAGTTACAGCCGCGGGTTTCTGACTGGTTATGCATGCAGGGACGCAGCTGTATTTATGGCATTGCGTGCAGCAATGTTGCAAATTTTACTACAGTGTTTTATGACCATTATAGAAAAAAAGGGGGAAATTTCCATCAAAAACTTTTTCTAGAATTTTCTAGAAATGCAGATTTCAGAGTTTGGAAAGTCAAAACTTTCCTCGGTAAATCTCGGTAAAAATAAGGAAATATACGATTTCCAGAATATTTGCCTTCATAAACTCAGAAAAACTCAGAGGTTTCCATGTTTTTTCTAGAAAATGTTTGACTTTTCAAACATTTCTTTTTCTAGAAAGTTCTGAAAAAGAAATAACCCTAATCTAAAAATTTCTGAGCTTTTGGCAAAAATTTATTCTTGTTTTTTCTATCTACAAAGACCTAATATGCTGTTATGAAATTTTAATCAGAATGTCTTAAATTGTAATAGTTGATTCTTCAAATGCATAGAATAAATTTTTGTTGAGAAACCTTTTTGAGCAGTTTGTTAACTGAACGCTAGAGGGAAGCAGAGTGCAGTGGCCAACTATTTAGGTGTGTTTCTGACTGCAAACAGACAGTTAAACATAGGATTCTTCTGAAGGAGGGGCAGAGAAAGAGGCAGCAACATTAAAACTGGGTCTGAGATCTCCGCTTTGAAAAAAAAGTTTCAGTTTTACTAAACGAAATGCCACTTTGTTTTTTTTGTTTTTGTCCCTTCTCAGCCATCCAGCGATGCTGCATCTTGTTCGACGGATGGACTGACAGGAGGACCGATCATTTCAGATGTTACTGACATGACTCAGGCCAGCATGGCCATTCAGATGCAGTCTGCTGACAGCAGGTGAGTCAGAACTGTAAACACTGATTTATCAGAACCGCTGTCTTCTCCCAGACAACATCCGGTTAAAGGTTCATTTCAGCTGCTGCAGTTTGCTTTCACACAACAATGAGTCAAACTAACCAAACCTTTTTAAACCTGTTCCCCTCCTCACCTAAAACCACTGAAGGAAGCAACACAAAAACCAGAAGAAGACACTGAGCACAACTTTCTTCTTCACAAAATGTAAATAAAAATGGAGTGGCATCAGATTTTAGCCATTGTTAGATTGTAGGACGCTAGTTCGCTTTTTTGATCTGCATCATAGTTTGATTACACATTCACATCTTCCCAAACAAATCGGTCTTTCCAGACAAACAAACTGTAGTTCAGTTAAAGCGGACTAAACTGGCCTGGTGCTCATTTGTGTTTTGTTTGCTTTGGGAGGTGTGAATGCTAATCAAACTCTTGATACGGACCAAAAACACAAGCTCTGGTCCGTCTACAAACCTTGATCTCTGTTCAATCAAAGTGCAGTTTGAATGCAAATTTGGACTCAAGTGGACCAAAGGAAGGAAGCGGACTACAACATAAAGCATTCTGGGTAAATACAACCAAAACAAATGCGCTAGACTAGGAGCTGGTAGCAGGACAAATGATTCTTAATCTTTTACCAAAGAACAAAAGAGAAATCAAAATCTGACTCTACTCCATTTTTGTTTACATTCTGTGAAGGAAGTTGTGCTCACGTCTTCTTTCAGGTTTCCTTCAGCTATTCTTGGTGCAGCGCCTCCACAGGTGAGGAGGGGAACAGGCTGCTGTAAGTGTTTGGTTCATTTAGTGTGAAAGTGAATGACAAGCTGAAAATGTTGGTAACACTTTATTTGACAGGTTTGAATAAGACAGGCATGACACCGTCATAAACATAACACCTGTCATGAACATAAGCAAGTCTTTGTGAATATTTACTGAACAACACTTTATGACAACAGTCATAAATATTCATGAAGACTTACTGGCGTTCATGACGGGCGTGATGTCATGTTTATGACGAAGTCATGACAGTCGTATTCACAACCCGTCAAATAAAGTGTTACCCAAACATTTGACCCACTTTAACCGAGTCTATTGGAGCATCAGGGGTGAAAACAGCCTCAGTGTTAGAAACTGTCTCTGCTTCCACGCTAAGGCAGAAAAGCATGATGCTCATCAAAGAGGAGCCTGTGAGCCCAGGAGTCCGCGGCGGAGGGAAGGGAGGCGCCGCTGACGGAGGAGAGGCGGCGGCGGCCATGACCTCCACCTGTCAGGTCTGCTCCTCTGAGCCTCCGGTCCTCCCGGTCGCCATGGTGCAGTCTGTCCTGGAGGGGAGGGGCTCCGCAGCCTCCCTGGTGGAGAGGAGGAACAGGAGACCCACCCTGGACCGGTACGTTATCCCGGCTGGACGTCCTGACAGAAACCCGTGTGTGTGTTGAATATTGGTGCGTGTGTGCAGAGGCGAGCTTCCAGAGTCGGTGGAGAATGTAGACATGAGTCTGGAGGAGCTGCAGCAGCTGCTGCTCAGGAGCCACCAGCAGAGCGCCATGGAAGCTGGAGCCGGCGCCGTAATGGATGTAAGGATGCAGTTATTCATAAAAATGTTTTATTAAATTAAAATTTATTCCAATTAACAAGTGCAAACTCCTGTGGGCCAAAAACAATCCTAACTCTTTGTCCTTGTCCAGTTGCTTGTCTTTAAATTTCTCCAAACATGGATCTTTTCAAAAATTGTTGTTTTCCTTCACACTTCCAAACCAGAAATGTTTGTTTGATCTTTTTGTGACTTGTCTTGTCACAAATGTTAACGTTTAACCTGCTAATTGGTGGCATTTAAGATGGAAAATTCAATGTTAGCTTGGAGTGAAGCTGCTCATATGATAAAAATCTCTGTAGAATAACTAACTTCAAGACATTAGTTTTGAAGTTAGTTAGAATGCTGCAGTATAAACTGTGAAAACCATGAATGCAGACATTTTCACATCCATTGTAATCAATTAATGAATGCATTTAATTAAATTTGATTGGTATTCAATTTCCTAATTATGATCACGTTCTTCTTTCTTTTCTTTGACAATTAAACCACAAACTGAAAGTCAGTGAACTGGTCACCATGGTTTCAGTTAAGATGCATCTGCTTGTTATTGTTATATAATGAAGATGTGAATCATTAAGTTTTTCTTCTTCACGTGTTTCCACAGCCTTTCAGTTTAAACCTTCCTCTGACTGAGTGGAACTTCACAGAGATGGAATCCAACCTGAAATCTGTGAGTTCAAACCTTCCTTGTTGCTGCAGACAAAACACAAAACAAACCAAACTAAATAACTGAGTTTTAAATAATTAACGGAGAAACAAAACATGATAAGAAACATGGAAAGGGAACAATGGTATTTTGTGTCTTGAACAAATCATCTTTAACAATAAAAACCAATATAACGAATAAATAAGATACATTTTCCAAACGTATGAGCGGAAATTCGCAGGTGAAGAAATGAGAAATGAAATCACATGTATGATTTTTGACTTGTGATGACAATATCTTTCTGTAAAAGTGAATTTTATTCTTCATTTCACATAAAATAATACTTTTGATTAGAACAACAGATTCTAAAAATCTGTTGCAAATCACCATTGATCTAAAAACGAGATTTGAAGAAAATGTCTGCAGTAATCATTGATTATTGCTGATTGTGGTTAATGGAGGTCCTTCATGAAATCTCTGAAATATGGAGAGGATCTTGAGTTTACAAATAGACCTGTCACAATAAACAGTAAATCAATTAACTACATGATCAATTAACCAAGGTCAATAATTTCCATTTGCATGATTTATTGCTTTTCTATTTTCTCTTTTTCTACCAAAAACTGGAAGAGAAGATTCTTCAGTCTGGTGCTTTAGACTCAACTTGCCTTTTTCTTGAAGGACAGATTTATTTTATGATTCATTTATGATTCTGTTGTTTCGTTTATTCATTTTGGATTCCAGTGTTCATCAATGATTATTGAATTTTTTATAATAATTTCCTGAATAATTTTGTCTCTAGCATTTTTTACTTGAATATGGTCTCGAAACAGCAATATTGCCCTTTATTGCAATAACTTCTGGGACAAATTATCATCCAGCAAAATTTGTTAGAACAGATTTGAAGAAAAATCAATAACTTTGTCAAAAAGTAATAGCAGTAGATACCAACTATTTTCTTAAAGCTGTCAAGGAAGCTGGAGGAATTTATGAGTGGGAAGCAAAACCTAAGCACTGATCCCACAAATTCATCAATACTGTAAAGGATGGGGAGAGGAAGTTAAATCATTAAACTCAACAAGTTCTGTAGTAAACAGTAAAGGATCTTGTAAGGTTTTTTAATAGTGAAGGCCTCAGTTAGGAAGATGATGAGATTGGACAGTATGATCCTTCTATTATCATTCAGCGCTCTAAACAGGAGGTCTTTCAGGGGCTCGGTTCATTTCCAGCTTCCGAGACACAAACACTAAAAGCCTGAGCTCACAGAGTAATCAATAACGTCTCTGAGGTCCAATTTTTCTCACCAGCCAGGAGAGCACAGACAGGATGCTGCAGCTCTGAGGTCAAGCAGGCTTTCACTGCACTGAGAAAGAACATTTCACAGCTAACAACAAGTAAACAAACTGGAAATCCAGTGCTTAATGATGCTGCACTGCAAAAACACAAAATCGTACTTCACTCAAAATAAGTTCAACCTAACTTAAAATAACTTTTCAGTGAGATAAAGAAGCTTGTTTTGGTCAGTAATTCCTTAATGTTGATTTTAAAAAACATGATAGTTCCCCTGGAAAATATTTTTACTTGTAAAATAAATGAGTGTCTTTTCACTTGATGTAAAATATCTTGTCATCTGCAGAAGTGAAAAAATCATCTGGCCACTTTTTAATAAATATTAAGAAATTATTGAGCTAATAAAAGCTCCTTCTTTTTGCTGAAAAGTTGCTTTCACACTAATTTTGTCTTATTTCTTGCATAGTAAGATATTTGCACTAGAAACTAGAAAAATAATATTTTAGTATCGTTTTCTTTAACAAACCCCTGAGACTCGTGGTTAGGATGGTAAAGGCTTGACAGTGGTGTATTTAAACGGTTTATAAAAGCGGCGGTGGGGCAGAGAGCAATGCCATGTTTCCCTGCCTCATTATTTCCAACAGCCCTTAATCAGCCCTTAATCCTCAAACATCAACAGCTCTTGGAAACCTTTGAAAGTCGTCATCAGCCGTCTTCCTGAGCCATTTTCCTCCTGTAAAAAGCTGATTTTTCTGACTCTGAGCTGAAAGAGAGCTGATTCATTCTTCATCTCGTTTGGTTTTGTTTGTGGAGATGAAAGTCATCAAATGGCTCCCGGTAATTAGAGAGCACTGAACGTTTCCCCACTTACAGCCAGGCTGCCTGCTCCATGTTTGAGTAAATTACCTTGCATTGTGTTATTTATGTTGCTCCATTTTCAGGAGGGTAAGTGCAAACAGCATGGCCATAGAAAAGTTGGTTGTATCGCCAAATAACTGCTTTACAGGATGGAGCAGCCAGTGAAGAAGAAAGACACAGCAAGGTGGCTTTAACACACACAAACAGGAATCTTTAGCACATCTCAGCAAAAGAAATGGGACTAAAAAAATCAAATACAACTTGAGGAAAATATTAATCCATTCATTTCAAAGTGAAATTCAATTTCTAACACTTAAATTGTACTTATCACTTATAATTGAATAAAATAAAAATGTCAGATTTTGTCATTTCTGTATTCACGTGTGTAGAAAGTCTTTGACTGCATGCATGTTTTTCCTCAGTACATGTTCCAGAGTCAGGAAGCCGAGGCTTTTCCTGCAGCTACCTGTGAGGATCAGTGAGCCTGAAACACGGACTGTTGCATTTCATCTGAACGGTAAGAAATTGTGACATAATAGTGAACAAATGCAAAAATACTCATATCCCTTCAACTGCTCCACATGTTGTCACACTACAGCTGCAAACATCAATAGATGTTATTTTAGTTTTATATGAAAAGTCAACACAAAATAGTTTAGCATTTTAAAAAGTTTTTTTTTAATCTCATGTCCCTAAATAAAATCCAGTGAAATTAAATCAAGAGTTCCCTAATATTACATAGAGTCCTGCTGTGTGTAATTTAATGCAGCTGTCGCCTCAGAAGTTTGTTGGAGAACATTAGAGAACAAACAGCATCACAAAAACCAAAGAAAAGACAGAAAACATGGGAAGAATGTGGTTTGATCAGACAGATGATAAAAGATAAACGTAGGAAAATACTGGAAAAAAATCCAAATATTTCCTGAGATTTTTCTGAAGTTTTGCATGGCTGCTCTTCACTTCATTTATCACTTTGTAACAGGTGAGTTTTCTTTCAGCCTACAAATCAACTTATGTTACAAAAGGTAAGCTACTCAGATTTCAAACTTTATAGCCAGGAGAAAAGCTCCTGTAAATGTACTAACATTGCTGTATATCATTCTGTCATCTGCAGAAAACTGAACATTAATATTCCTGATGTGAAGAGTGTTATAAATAAAATAAAGGCTAGTGGTCCCAGGATTGAGCCCTGGAGAACACCCTGGTTTTCCATCAAATAACTAGAATTAAACCTTTCATGCTTTGAGATCTGCCAGAATTTATCAGGAAAATATAATCCAAATATAATTTTATCCTTAAATATAAATGTTTCAGTCTTTGTTAAGGAGTGATTGTGTTCTTAGGGTCTGAATTGCTATATTGTCTGTGGTTAGCCTCAGCCGGAGGGTAACTCTTCCGAGCCTCAGGTGGATTCTTCCTGAGGAGACTCTCTGACATCTCGGCTCGTTTCTCTCCTCAGGCCACACAAGCTGCTGTTCCGCTCATTATTCCACTCCACAGGAGTTTGAACTCACGGCCCTGCCAGGCTGTTTCCACGCTGCTGTATTTCCAATCTGTCCACTGAAGGACATCTGCAGGAAAGGGACAATGGGACAATTTCCTAACTACTTCCTGGTTAGCTGGCTGCCATGGATTCGATGTTCACATCTGCAGTTAAGGAAACAAAATAATGTTGTAGCAACTCAATTTGACTCATTTACAGCCAGAAGGATGCATTCTTGGCTTCTGCACTTTAGTCTTTGTGTGAGTTCTAGGTTGTAGATGTGATTCTTTTTCTTCTTATAAATAATCTAGAAAAAGGTTCTGTATTATTTAACATGAGAATTATGGGATTAATGTAGAATATTTCACACGCAAGTTTTCTTAGTCTGCTCCTAAAGAAGTGTTCACTGCAAAAACGCAAAATCTTACAAAATATTTTTGTTCTAATTTCTAGTGCAAATTTCTTAGTACACTTGAAATAAGACCAAATGAGCTGACAAGGAACAGTTGAGCAATATAAAGGCCCTTGGTTTGGTTGAATAATGTCTTAATATTAGGAAAAAAGTAATGAGGAGATTATTTCAGATTATTTAGTTTGTGCTCAGGATTGGTTGTAGGCAACAATTATGTGTGATGATTGTTGGAAAAACATTGGAAAAAAAGTCCTGTCAATGAAAAAATCTGTCAGTGAAGCTAATAATTTTCAATAACATTAAGGAATTATTGACTTAAAACAACTGCACACAAACAGCTCCCACTTTAATGCAGACAGAGCCCCAATGTGGTTGTCCATCTACTTCCTGCCAACGAACCAGAACCCAAACCAGATGATGATGATAATGATGATGATGGACTGATTGCGTCACACTGGGGGAGTTTAACCTACTTATTTCATATGTCCTTGCAATTATTTATCTTGTAGCCAAAAAGTGATTTTTTTGTTTTTACTTGTAAAACAATGAAAAAGCATCACCAGTTCTGCATTTTGCACAATTTGCATCCCAACAGAGGGAGAACATTAAGATCAGGCCATTAATTTTCTGTTTGCAGAAGGCAGGCACTTGGAGCTCAAAGAGAGTCGCTGCAGGAAATGGAAACTATTTTAGTTGCAATGTTCATCAGTGGGGCAGAATTATATAAAATTTACTCTTTTTTTTAACTTTACCTGGAGTGTTGCCTTGAGTCTTTCATGAATGTTTAAGGAATCCTTGAATCTCCATGTAGTTCCACCTTCAGTGACAAAGCTCCTCCTCAGGGCTGCAGTTTCCAAGCTTTCACCTCAAAGAACAGCTCTCCCGCACTCAGATCCTTCAGACTAGCCGGCAGCAATTAGCAAACACCTGGTCAGCTCAGTATATGACCTAATTCTCAGTGAAATGCTGGTAAAAATGCTGCTGATGGGTTGAAAGGAGCCATGTTGTGATGACTTCCTGAAGACGGAGTTTCAGAAAAAGCAGAAGCTTCTTAAAGAGACAAAGGCCTAATTTCAAGGTGGTAAATTATAAAATCAAATCTTCTTAAGTTATATTTGGCTAATACAGTTTTTTTGTTTTATAACAGCTGATGGTAACAGTTGCTTGATTATGCTATAAAATGGTGCAATCAAGCAACTGAAAAATACATAATCCAGTCCCTTTAAAACACAGATGGAACATAACCAGATACATCCAGGTGTTTTTCCGCTGAGAGATCATCCAGTACATCATTTAAAAATGTTGGAGTTTCTATTGCTGGATGGAATTGTACCTTAGAATTTAATCTGTAATAGAACTTTGCATACCTGCTTGAAAATTGTATGAGATTGAGAACATTTTCCAAAGGTTTTTTTCATTTTTTTGTGTAATTTTAGTTTGTGCTCAGCATTGGTTGCAGGCAACAATTATGTGTGATAATGTGATTGGGAGAAAGTAGCTGCAGATGAGATGAATTGTGCAATATTGTACAGAACAGTGAAAATACTGCAATGCACAGATGACCATTGGAATGTAGGACATGAACATGTAGATCTGAGTTGTAGACTTGAGCAGACGACACTGAGATGCACTGCTGGAGGACAGAGTTGGCCTGTGAGTCTAAAAGCTGAGCTGGACAGAAGCTTTGAACAGTTGTTACGTTTTGGTGGAGTGACATCACATCCTGCAACTCGGTCACAAGCTGCTGGCCTCCATAACCGTCTCACCCAAAACCATTCAGGCCATAATATCAACAGGTTTTGCCCTGAGTGTGACCGAAAAGCCTGCTGCAAGCAAGGAGTCAACTAAGGCACATATTAGCTTTAGCTTTTAACTTCGTGTTGCTGTTCTTCCTCTAGTTTCCTCTGTTGCACAAAACATTTTTGCTGAATCTTTGACTTAATGCAACATGTTGGTATAATTACAGCTGCCACTTGAGGGCAATATAAAGTAAAATAAACTCAACAGAAGCAGCTTGCAGAGATAAAACCTGAGCCGAGATTCGACTAATTTACCTAAACATTTTACTGAACTCGCTAATAAAAATCTAAATGTGACCTGCAAGAAAACTTTGCTTGTGGTTGAGCCTCCTTCTCTGTGAATGCTTTGGAGTAAATGAAAGAAAAAGTGACCTGTGGTGTAAAATAAGTGAAATTGCACTAAAAAAAAAAGATACCCTTAAACTTAGCTGGTGTTTTTGTTCCTCATCATATGAGTGTAAATGGATTTTTCAAGGGGTGATGAATTGTACATTCACTTGCTGTTGTTCCTAATTTATTCTGTTTTAAATTTGAATCATTTGCACTGGCAGAGAATGGATGTGTGTTGAAATGGCATTTCTGCTTGTCGGGACTGCAGACAGATAAGGATGTATTTTTGTTCGGTGACTGAAAAGACATCTGCTGTTAACAAAGCCTGGCATCCCAAAAGCACCTCTGCACTGTGAACGCTCAGGAATAAATCTACATACAAATTCACAGCACTTGCTGCGTTAGCAGAAGATAATATAGAAAGCGAACATGCACTGTCAGTGGAAGACGGGGATGATCTCAGTGCTTAGATGCTTTTGAAAGTGGGCCGCATCTTGCTTAAAATATGAAACATTTAAAGGGATTTTTTTTCTTCTTTTTGCAAAGACTAAAGTGTATTGTTATAAATACTGAGCATGTATTCCACCTGCATATGAACAATGGTCAACTTCAATAAAAGCGCTAAAAAGCAATCTGCTTCACCACTTGTTTTTAATTGTACTTGAATTGTTTGTGAGAACATATTTGGCAATTGAACATAAAAGATTCAAAATGTAACCCAGCATTTGATTATTTGTTCCTATAATATTGATCTGTCATCACTTAGCTAAGGTAAACCTCAAACTGTGTCATTGCATCTTTAATAGATTATTTTTTTGTATTTGTTTTTCAGAAAATGGAGAATAGTGATGGGATAGTTTGAGTGGCCAAGAGCAGATGTATGGAAGCCAGAATGTATAAATTCATATTTACAGATTTATGATCCATTATCTGAGCTCTCTGGTTTCTCTGCTTCTCTTTTTCGCTGTGTTTAAGCTGCACTCCTCTCCAGTTATCATGTTGCCCATATTGGATTTGTGAATCAATCTAATGAGATTTTCTGCCTTTCAAAGGAGCCATGAACCTCAGAGAGTTGTTGCTCCAAATTTCTTACTATAGTGATGTCAGAGAAACGTTGCTTTGCTCATATTTCACTTTGATAATGCATGGCTTTGCTACCAATACTCTTCTCAAAATAGTTTTCTGCACAAGACACTTTTAGGGCTGAAATTATTAGTATTGATTAGTTGATTATTAAAATAATCATCAAATAGTTTAGTAATTGTTAGAAGTATTTTTTAGCTGCAGATGTACAATGTTTAGTTTCCTGCATCTTTTAATGCATTTCTAAGTTTGTATGAAAAAGGCTCAGATAAAAAATCTGCAGAATGTGCCCATTTTTTAAATCCAAGTTACAGATTAATCATTAAAATAATCAAATTAATTATTAACTACAATAATCATTAGGATCAGCCCTAAATATCTTACAAGTATTTTTTTCTGTCATTTCCAGTATTCTTCAAACTCTACCCTTTGTTTTTCTCTCCTCCTCCCCGCCTCGCCCCTCCCCTACATGTTGCTGCATTATTTAGGATGAGTGCCGTTTGGTATATCTTGTGTTGTCCCTGTGTTGCTCTGTTTTCATCTCACTGCTTGCAACGGTACTTTGACATTAAACTCCTTCACACATGAAGCAGAGCTGCAGAAATGCAACATTAGTATTCGGTTGAATCACTGAAAATCCCATTAAGGCAAAAAATGATTCCACAAACTACAGAAATTATCAGAATATGCACTCACAAGTAATGTCTTTGTCTTTTTTCCTCAAACATCAAGCAGTCCTAAGCAGTGTCACTTAGTCTCTGCAGGCAAAGCAGAACCAGACTACAACGGCTCAAGATGGCTTATTTATGACTAACAGGAGCTCCAGGGTGAAGCGTTTGAAAAGCATCAAACTCAGAGTTGCATCGCAGACAGGGTCAGAGCTGCAGAAATAAAGGAGATGGAGAAACAACATTCCTGCAAAATTGATCACAAACTGAATGTCCAAACAGACGCAGTGTGGCAGTAATAGAGGTTTTTACAAATCTTTGGTGCTTTAACTGCAACAGCAAAGACTAAATGGAGAAACAGGTATCAGCTACAAGAAAATTCAATTTTGCCTTGAAAAATATCCAAAGATTTTTTACCCCTTTAATGCGTTCTGTTTACAGCAGAGACTCTTGAGGAGAAAAATATTCTGTACTTCACTGAATCAATCATGCCCTGCAGAAACGCTGCCTGAAACATAAACTTCTGAATAACGAGGCTGATTTAGTCGCTGTTACTGCAGACGTGGAGATAACTGAGGCATGAGCGCTGTAGGTTTGTTGCATATTTCATCAAAATATCTTTTTATAGCCGTGCAGGATATGTAAAGATCCAAGAGAAGAGCTGCACAAATCAAGTCACTGAATCAGTCAAGCTTATTAAAAAAATACTCCTTACTCTTCAAAACCTTTATCTTTATGTTTGCAAAATGATTATTTGGTGGGTTATTCTACAATTAAATTATAATTATTAATTATAAATTATTTCTGTGCAAACAGCCAAACAATATTTCTTTGGGATAATTTACTTTAAACGCTACAAAGAACCTGCTGATGTTTAAGATGAGTGTTTAATGAGGCAGCATTATGTCGATAATCCATCGTGTTTTAATATTATTCCTTTATCTTCTACAGGTAGTATGCAACACTACCAGCAGTAGTGTTGCCTTGACACTATGCATGTTTTATGCATGTTTTGAGAGATCTTTCAATCTCCATGCAACCATGTGTAAAACGCCGGGTTAGACCTCGCCCCGCCTTAAAGTCCGTCCTTGGCGCTCCAGTTTGCAAGCTTCCGCCTCACAGAGCAACCATCTCCACTCTGCTCCTTCAGACTAGCCAGCAGCAATTAGCAAACACCTAGTGGAACTGACCTGCTGAGCTCATTATAGGAGCTACTTAAAGGAGGAGTCATGTTGTGGTGATTTCCTGCAGGCGTTGTTTCAGAAAGAGCAGGAGGTTTTAAAGAGACAGAGACGTTAAATCATAAAGTTTTATTTATTTTAAGTCGTATTTGACATATCAAATTTTTATAACAGTTGAAGTTGACATAGTTACGTTGCTGTGCTATAAAGTGAAATTATGTGCCTGGAAAATACATAATACTGCATCTTTCATTAAATACCAGGAAGCTTTTCCTTGTGTGTATTAATGCATATTAAGATATATATTTTTATTTTAACTACTAAAATAGTTTGTGTTTTGATAAATGGATGGATGAGTGCTTATACAGATGCATAATGCTATATTTCTCTAATGCGTACGATTGTCAAAGTAATTGGGATGACAGCTGTTTGCATGGCAGATAAAAACATTAGAGCTAAAATCTGATGCGCTGACATTTAAAGAAATGTTGCTAATATCCTGGCAGCTCTCCGGTACGTCCAGGCAGCACTCAGGAAGCAGGAGTAGGTGTTCTGTTTGTGTTTGGAGGCCCACACAGTTCGCTGGCCCCAAATTAGTCAGAGCTTTGGAGCTAGCTTTGATTGTTCACTGGCACAAAACAGATTTTCTGACATGGAAGCACTTCATGTTCGATAAGAGGAGGAAGAGTTTCATGCAATCCTTTCTCTGGCTTCAGTGGTTGAGGCAGTAAGAACAGCAGACATCTTCAGTTAGCTTCAATCAATCAATCAATCAATCAATCAATCAATCAAGTGTGGAGTACATTTCAGCAATAAGGCACGAAAACATAAAATTTTGTCAGCTGCCATTGTTAAGATCATCAATACACACCAAATATATTGATCAGTGTTCTATTCATTGTGGTTCAAAGGCAACAAGTGGGTTTTTAGTCTAGATTTATAGGAACATTCAGCTGAGTTATTTATATGAATAAGATTTATTTGGAAAAAAACAATTCAGATGTAAACATTTTGACACAGGTTGAATATTTTAGATTAACAGAAATTTAAAAGGTAATGGTGAAAATCAACTACCTGGTTGATTTTGACCATTATTATTTATTATAAGTAATAAAAGACACTCAATTCTTTTCACACATTCACATAAAGCATAAGCCTTTTTCAATAAGTTGTCCCAGAAGTTATTGCAATAAACAATATTGTTGTTTTGAGACAACAGTAATGGTATATAGTTACGACAAAAGGATCAAAATAAAAATATAAAGCATTAAGGAAAAATCTGCACTCAGGCAGCCTGAGCGATGATGTCACAGGCGTCCACAGTATGAAGGTTTCTGACAGTGATTGATGTGGTGACAAAGAGGAAGTCAAGAGAAATGTTGTCGGAAGCACAACAGTTTGGAGACATCACGGATCGGGACCAGGCTTCAAAAACACTCAAAATAAAATAGAATAAAAAGAATCCAACAGATAAACTGTTATATTGTAAAACAGGAGAGTCTAACTGATTTCTGTGTCAAAGAACCGCTAGTTAAGCTGAAACATATTATAGATCAAAAGTCCAAAATTTCAATCTTCTGAAATTTCTGTTGCTCAATTTCCTTCAAAAACACAAAATGTTACATGATATGGTTTTACCTAATTTCTAGTGCAAATATCTTTGAACACTTAAAATAAAAGCAAGCATCTATATTTTATTTTTTTGCACTTGATGTTTGATCAAAAATGGTGAGAGTTTGTGTTTTCCAATGTTGTTGCTTTGACCTTGTGGCATCATGTCAAATCCACAGATCATCACTAAATTTGATTCTCAGAAAAAAACATGGCTGCTGTTTCGGAGGATAGTTTGATTGATGGCTGTTTTCTTTGGGGAATCCCATTTCAATCTGCGCTTGATATTTTGTTGGCCTTCTTAACCCTGGATTAATAATATTCATACCGTATCCAATTCAGTTGAATAAATGGAATATAAAGTATTCATTATAACTAAGGTCCTCTGATCTTTTCTAGGAATCCATAAAAAAGCCTTCTGGCACTTTAAATTGAAAACACTGAATAATTTTGACAAGGCGGTGATAATATTCTGGCTGTGTGCCACTGAAAACATGTACAGCTTTACCATTTCTTTCTAAGCATTAAATAAACTCTAATTTCACTGGATTTTGCTGAGTTATTGTTAGTGCTTGACCAGGAACATGTTTCCATTTGGTTCCAGTCCAGTTTGCAGAGAGAATTATCTAAAAAAAAGTTGCTCTCTTGCTTTAGAAACTGAGCATTTGCTCTGGAAGTCAGAATGAACTCCTGATGTTACAGCTGCATGCAGAGCTCTGTGCAGCAGCCTTCAGATCTGGAGGATATCAGAGTACAGCAAGCAAACCAGGTCAGATGATTCAGAGAGACAAGCAGCCACTGCAGCATCTTTCACACTGTTGGAAAGCATTAGAACTGAGATTTTAAGATTAAACCTCAGATTACATCAACCAAATGTATGCAAAGTACAATACAGTTTTGCAAGCCAGGTATGAAAAACGAATTGTAATTTTAAAACTGGCCTCACAAAACGTGGATGCATGTCCCATGTTTTGTGGGACATGCATTCATGTCCCACAAAACCATGCAGGGACATGCATCCAGGGACATGAATGCATGTCCCTGGTATAATAGAAACTCCTGATTTTAAAC